CCCCTCCCCACTATGTTTATGCACCATACTTTCTCGTTTCCTTGCACATCTTGTAATTTTTTGTTGCAAACATTTAAATATCAAATTTTGACAACTATAGAAATCAGATTTTCCCCTCCCCAGGGTTTGTTGATGTTCCTGTTTGTTATTATTTGTTTGTTTTAGCAACTTTTTTGAATGATAAATTGTGTGTTCTTTGTCATGTGTGTCTACTGAAGTCTCTGCTCAGTTGCTTAGTGGTCAGTAACAATTGGGCAAAGATCTCCTTAAATGCCTGGAACCTGTAAGTCTTCCAGTCTTTGCCAAGGGGCTCTATGTGTGTGTTGAGTCATGCCTTCAACACTCCATCAGAAAGTTTAAAATTCTGCCTTAGCCTTCACTTTCTACTTGCACAGATCCTCAAGGTCATCCAGGTATGAGAGCTTAGGGTATTTTCAGGTCTTTGCTTACCATGTCTGCAAAAAATCGTGGGCATATATAACCCTATGTATGCATTTGATCACCTAGATTCCTAGGAATATGTCAGAGCTTTTCAAATCCCTTTTGGACATCTTAATCTCCATCTTTTTCTTTTCAGCCTTTGGCTAGCCCTGTGGTCGGCAAACCACGGCTCGCAAGCCACATGCAACTCTTTGGCCCCTTGAGTGTGGCTCTTCCACAAAATACCACATGCGGGCACGCACGTACAGTGCGATTGAAACTTCGTGGCCCATGCGCAGAAGTCGGTATTTTGTGGAAGAGCCACAAAAGAGCTCAAGGGGCCAAAGAGCTGCATGTGGCTCGTGAGTCATAGTTTGCTGAGCCGCAGTTTGCCGACCACTGGCTAGCCTATTGTTTTTCTTAACTTTCTCAATCAACCCTAGCAGCCGCAAAGTTAAACAATTGACACTAATTGTTTTGACAAACACCCTTGAGAAAAGGTTACCTCCACTCTGAATCATACTATATAATAAAAGCCTAATATGCTAAGTGTCTGACCATTCGTTTTACCGTTCTACCAGTTGCTATGACATGCACTGACCACTAGGGGGCAAATGCTCCAACTGGTAGGTTAGCTTGCTGCTGGGGTCTGGCTGATCAGGACTGGGTGAGATGGGCCAGACATGCCCTGGAGCCCTTCCCAGCCCCAATCGTTCACTGATGGGGTTCCTCAGCCTGGCCTGCACCCTCTTGCAATCCGGGACCCATCGAGGGATGTTGGAGAGCTGGTTTCGGCCCAATCCCCGCAGGCCAGGCTGAGGGACCACACTGGTGCGTGAATCTATGCACCGGGCCTCTAGTAGCAGATAAAGATAGCCTTGCAAGTATGGTCTTACAGGGAACCACCAGGCAAGTCAAAGTGTGGCAATTCTCTGGGAATGAGGCTTTGAAGAAGGTCAGCTCCATTCTGCAACCGCCAGTGGCTGCCGTATTTCCCATTTTCAACATGCTTACAAGCTGTGTCGGTTTTCAAGGTTACCATGGAGCTAGAGAGAGGAGATGAGAATAGGGCAAGTTAAAATGCCACAAATCTCACTCCTTTTTACTGAGATTTAGCTGTTGTTGTTGTGTTGTTGTTTTTTAATTAACACTCCCCAGATTGCTGCAAGCATTTGGCTAATATCTAGAGTTCTGAAATAGATGACTCTAATGATGTTTGCCAGTTTTACTACTTTTATGAGAATTTTTCTACTCTGCCATTTTCTCTCACTCCTCTGCACTTTATTTAAGGAGACACATTTTGCCTCATAAATGGTGTGTCCATTACCATATTTTTGCATTGCTAACGTACTCATTCTTGAGACTCAGCTCAGGGTCACTTCCTTGAGCAATGGAACACTTTCTAAAAATTAAATCTGACACAGACCTAATTAAGTGAATCAAATGCTATCTCAGCTGCTCTTGTTCAATGAATGAGTGAGAACTGGATCCATGCCAGATCAGCAATCACTTTTCCCAGTTCCCTGCTACTTCACACAGAGCCCTTGAAGCACTTGCCTCTGAGAGCCTGAGGCTCTACAGATCATAGCATGTAACACTAAGCTAAAAGAATGCTTGGTGAAATTTTTAAAAAACAGATTCAAGTGGTAGGCAGTCAATTGGGGTAGATGGCATCTAGATAGCTTCTAACCAGAAATTATATGTTTTCTTGAATGAAAAGGCTGAAAAATTACTCTGATAACTCACTAACAAGGCCATAAAACTTTCTAGAAAGTTATAGAAATGTATAAATTACAGATATATGCCCCCAAAATAATGGCCACTACATATTAGAAATATGAAGAAAATAAAAGTTTTCATAATATACACTAATAAAAGACAAACATGCAAATTGACCATACCTTTGCTACACCTTAAGCCACACCCACCAGCCAATCAGAGTGACTATATGCAAATTAACCCAACCAAGATGGCAGCCGGCAGCCACGAAGCTGGAGCGAGCAGGAGGCTTGGTTGCCCCAGTGATGGAGGAAGCCAAGCTTCCCACGGCCAGCTGTAGCCTCTGCAAAAGGCAACAAAGTTTCAATTATAGAAGGTAAATAAATCCCAGAATAAAAAGAAAAAGAAAAAAAGGGACCTGGCCAGCTCTGAGCTCCAATCAAGGCTACAAAGCTTTAATTATAGAAGGTAAATAAATCCCAGAATAAAAAAGAAAAAAAGGAGAGGTTGGGAGCTTCCATCGCTGGGGGGCTTAGCCAGCCTGAAAAAAACCCTCAGCCCCTACCCAGATTGGCCAGGCACCTCAGTGGGGACCCCCCCTAAAGAGGGTGTGGCCAGCCTGAAAACAGCCATCAGCCCCTCACCCAGGCTGGCCAGGCACCCCAGTGGGGATCCCCACCCTGAAGGGGGTGTGACCAGCTGCAAACAGCCATCAGCCCCTCACCCAGGCTGGCCAGGCACCCC